TGGTGCATGGGAACCTGAGTTTGGCAGACACCGGATAATGTTGACCGATTTCTGATACTAGGACTGCTCCTATGCCGACTCTTTTGAAATTTGCTGCTCCATCGAAAAACATTCTCCACCGGTCACAGGATTCTGCAATATCTTCTCCTATGAATGCTACCTCTTCGTCAGGAAAATACGTTTCCAGGGGTTCGTATTCTCCATCCATGGGGTTTTCGGCAAGGTGATCTTCTAGTGCCTGTACCTTGACTGCTTTCTGAGTTACGTAGACAATGTTGAATTCACTCAACAGGATCTGCCACTTGGCTAGCTTGCAGGTGGGCATGGGCTTCTGAAAGATGTATTTCAAAGGATCCATCCTTGATATGAGATATGTAGTATAGGCACAGAAGTAGTGCCTCAGCTTCTGAGCCACCCAAGTTAGAGGGCAACAGGTGCGTTCTAGCAGAGAATACCGGGCCTCGTACGGAGTGAACTTCTTGCTGAGATAATAGATGGCCTGCTCTTTCCTCCCCGTTTCATCATGTTGCCCCAGGACGCACCCGAAGGCATCATCTAACACTGTGATATAGAGTAACAGAGGTCTTCCTGGCTCAGGCGGGACTAAGACTGGTGGTGTTGACAGGCATTCCTTGATTCTGTCGAAAGCTTTCTGGCAATCATCAATCCATTTGGTGGTGGCATCCTTCTTCAACATCTTGAAGATCGGCTCACAGATAATTGTAGATTGTGCTATGAACCGGCTGATGTAGTTAAGTCTCCCCAAGAAACTCATTACGTCCTTCTTGTTCTTTGGCGGTGGCAATTCTTGAATGGCTTTGATCTTCGAGGGATCCAGTTCTGTTCCCCGGCAACTCACAATAAACCCAAGCAATTTTCCAGCTGGAACCCCAAATGCACACTTCGCGGGATTCAGCTTTAGGTTGTACCTTCACAGTCTATTGAAAAACTTTCTCAAATCTTCCATGTGATCAGGGGCCTTCTTTGACTTAATGATGACGTCGTCTACGTACACCTCGATCTCCTTGTGTATCATATCATGGAAAATGGTAGTCATGGCTCTCATGTAGGTGGCCCCTACATTCTTTAACCCAAACGATATCATCTTGTAACAGTACATCCCCCATGGCGTAATGAAAGCCGTTTTCTCAGCATCTTCTTCATCCATCCAGATCTAATGATATCCCGCGAAACAATCTACAAATGATTGCAACTCGTGCTTGGCACAATTTTCAATGAGGATGTGTATGTTTGGCAAGGGGAAGTCATCTTTTGGACTGGCCCGGTTGAGGTCCCGGTAGTCGACACAGACGCTAACCTTCCCATCCTTCTTCGGTACTGGCACAATATTGGCTAACCATGTTGGATATTCTACTACCCTGAGAACCTTAGCTTTGACCTGCTTAGTGACTTCTTCCTTGATTTTCAGACTCATATTAGGCTTGAACTTTCTGAGCTTCTGCTTTACCGGTGGACACGTCAGATGAGTTGGTAGTTTGTGTGCCACAATAGATGTACTTAGACNGACCAGGCGAATATGTCCTCGTACTCCTTTAGGAGTTCTGTGTATTCTTCCTTTTCTGATGGTGACAAATGAACGCTGATTCGTGTTTCTTTGACATTTTCTGCATCTCCCAAGTTAACAATCTCAGTCTCGTCCAAATTGGACTTAGGTCTGTTCTCAAAATTCTCAACTTCTTTAACGATCTCTTCCGGTATATCATCTTCCTCTGAATCTATGTCCGTTTGTTGCGTTGTCTCGTTGCTTGTCACAGTCATTGGTTCATCAAGATAAGTAATAGTGATGCTGTATAAATAAAGTAATGAGATAAAATAATAAGAGTAAGATTTATAAGGAAACCGAAATGCTTTGATAAATTCCATAACTGTTTTTGAACATTGGAGCTCTTTTGCGAAATTAAAATGCGAAAGAATAAAAGATAGTGTATGATGCTTGTTCAGCCTTGCTACCCCGAGGCTCGCCAAGCTCTGGTGGTTCTGATAGTTCAGTTATTAAGGCATGCTAGAAGAACATACGAGAACATGGTAGAAGAAAAAGCACAAGAGCATAGTAAAAGCATACGAGATAATAATATAGGAAAGCACAGTAAGAGAAGCATATAAGAGCATGATACAAGAACACAGTAGAGACAAATACACACGAATGACAAAGAAAAATCATAAAACACTTAAACACTTTTCAGAAAACCCTAAATCGGAAAAGAAAGGTTTTGAAAGTGATTTTGAAAGAAAAGTTTAGGGAAATCGTTTGAAAACTCAATGAAAGCATAGATACACCACAGATCTAAAGAAATCGGAGAAAACCTCGAAAGGTTAGAGTTTCAGAAGAACCCTAGAAATGAGAAAGGGTTTGAGAGGTCACTGATCTGCGTCGGAGAGGTCAGAACCATGCTCAAACAACCATGGTACGCCAGAGCAAGGCGGGATATGACCCTAAGACCTCGAATCGACGGTGGTCTGGGTTCAACCCTTCATAGTCAGGCCTTGAATCTTCAGAGATCATGCATGTAGGAGCCATAGGAGGTAGGTGTAAGACTCTCGTAGCCTTGGAGGCCATAGATTCCGGTGGATTTCAGGGCGGAGATGGCTAGGGTTAGAGAAGGTTCGAGAGTGTTTGAGAGAGGGGAGGGTTTCAGAGGCGGCGGATAATTGAAAATGATTTAGGGTTGGGGGATTTGGTAAATTAAAAAAGGAAAGAATGCGTGTGAGCCGTTGATCTGTTGATCAACGGCTGGGATTAAAAGAAGGGGTCCGGGCGGGTTATTTGAGTGGGTCGGACAGATCAATGGCTGGGATTAAATGAAGGGGTCCGGGCGGGTTATTTGAGTAGGTCGGGTAATTTGGGATTGGGATTGATTGGGGGGTTGTTTTAGGCTAAAATTGAAATGGTTAGGGCTAGTATTTAAATAGCCATTTTTTCCCTTTTTATTTTATAAAAATAGCAAAATCATTTCTGAAAACAAATTAAAGGTACTAAATTAATTAATAATGTATAAATGTTGAATTAAAAATACTGGAATCAATTTTACAATTATAAACGCAATTAATTCTTAAAATAGGCTAATATTGCAATTATATGCAATTTAGCTTTAAAATACTAAATTTGTAAAAAATGTGCAAAAAATTACCTTAGCTATATTTTGGTATAAATATGAGAATACAATAAGTGAATCACAAAAATGATCATTTGGGGAATAATTATTAATTTTTTACTGGTAAAATAGGGCAATAAAATTGGTTTAAAAATCTTTAAAAATTAAAAAAAAAGTAGGGAAATTCTTGGACATACTTATATATGCATTCCTATGCTATTTGAAAGGTATTTTGTATATAAAACTATACAGGAAAAAATTGGGTATCAACACCCCCCCCCCCAATCAATTGCATTTTGGATTGTGACTTATTCGATTTAGGATTTTTGGGGCACAAATTCACGTGGTGTAATGATTGGGCACCAGATAGAAGGATATGGAAAAGACTGGATAGAGCTATGGTGAATCACATTTGGGTTAATAAACTCTCCAAATCATCAATCATTCACTTATCGAGGATTAACTCTAACCATGCTCCTTTACTTCTTAAAGTTGCAGCCCATAAGACACCCCCGCTAAAGTACTTTAAGTTTTGGAACATATGGACTAAGCAAGATAGTTTCAGAGAACTTATAAAAGAAGCTTGGGATACTCATATGAGGGTAATCTTTATTGGAAATTCCATCAGAAAACTAAGATTTCAAGTTCTAAACTATCTGCTTGGTCTAGAAAAGTGCTAGGGGATATATTTGCAAAAACTAAAGATATTGAGAAGAAAATTGACAACTTAGAAGAACAGTCCATAGTGAACAACACTGAGCAACACATAGCTATTCTTAATCAGAAAAAGGCAGAACTTACAAGACACTTGAAAATTCAGCAGGCCTATTGGAAACAAAAAGCCAGCATTCAATGGGCTAAAGAAGGAGATATGAATACCGGTTTCTTCCATGCTTTTGTCACCAGGAAAAGAAGAAGAATGGCTATACAAAGGATCAAGAATGAAGATGACCAATGGATGGATGATGAAGATCAAATAGCTAATGAAGTTGTTAGATTTTTTGAAAACCTATGCAAGAAACCTCAAGAACAAACTGATTTGAGTTGCCTGGATTGCTTGCTCAACATGATCACGGATCAAGACAATGAAAACCTCATTAAAGTTCCCACAAAGGAAGAAATTAGGGAAATTATCTTCTCAATGAATCCAGACTCAACATCCGGACCTGATGGACTCACAACTTCTTTCTTCCAAGAAGCATGGGAGATCATTGCACGAGATCTAACTAATTAGTTTCTTTCTTTTTTGCAAGAAATAAGCTATCCAAATACATTACACATACTTGTTTGGTCCTCATTCCAAAGATAGACCAAGTTGAAGCTATGACAGATCTCAGACCAATAAGCTTGGCAAATGTGAGTTCTAAAATTATCTCCAAGCTCTTGAATAACAGATTAGCAGAGATACTACCAAGAATTATATATCCTAATCAATCTGGTTTTGTTAAAGGCAGGGCTATCACTAAAAATATAATGCCTACTCAGGAGCTTGCATATAATATGAGCAGAGACAACAATGGAGACGATATCATAATCAAAATAGATATGCAAATGCATATGATAGAGTCTCATAGTCTTTCCTATGCCTTATGCTAAGGAAATTAGGATTCGCTAAAACTTGGATAGACCTAGTATTCAGATTAATCTCCAAGATTTGGTACTCTATTGCCATGAATGGCTCGAGGAAAGGTTTTTTCAAATCGTCAAGGGGCCTCAGACAAGGAGATCCAATTTCCCCTTCTCTTTTTGTGATATCATCTGAGCTTCTTTCTAGAATGTTGAATGGAATTACAACATGCCAAGATTTCATTGGTCCCTGCATTACTCACTTAACTTTTGCAAATGACATCATTTTATTCAGTTCAACTGATAATACATCTATCCATATTATCAACCAGCGTCTTCAAGATTATAGCAACATCTCTAGGCAAGTTATCAACTATAACAAGTCCTATTTCTACATGAATCCAAATGTTGGGTAAATACAAATTGACTCCATCAATCAACTGACTGGTTTCTCCAAGAAACAATTTCCTTTTACCTATTTGGGTGCTCCTATTTACATAGGGAGAAAAAAAGTAGAATACTTTAATGATCTTACAGCCAAAGTTGGGAAAAGAGTTGAAGGATGGAATGGCAAACTCATGTCCTTTGGAGGCAAAGCAGTTCTAGTTAAAGCAGTACTTTACTCTATTCCTATGCATATCCTTGCTGCTACCAATCCACCTAAGACAACTTTGGAGATAATTGAGAAACAATGCTCTAACTTCTTCTGGGGTAACTTTGAGGGAGATAACAAACACCATTGGTTCTCATGGGCTTCATTATGGTGGGACAAGAATGAGGGTGGTGTAGCTTTTAGATTAATTCATGACATCAACAAATCTCTTGCTTCAAAATCTTGGTGGAGTTTAAGGACTAGAGACTCACTATGGAGAGAATTTATGGAAGCCAAGTATTGTAACAAGCTCCACCCTGTTGTAGCTACATGGAAATCTTGTCACTCACAAATCTGGAGGAGGTTGATAGACATAAAAGAGGATACACAGAAACATATCACGTGGAGATTGAGAATGGGGATGCTTCATTTTGGTGGGATAAATGGTTGGATCAAGGCCCATTGGCCAATTTGATTAATGACCATAGCAAAGGAAATGAGAATGTATCATCCTTTATCTAGGAGGAATCCGGGAATATGATTGAACTAAGAGAAGTTCTCCCTGAAGATATCATTAGAAATATTATATCTTTACCTCCCCCTACACAAACTAAAAAAGACCAACCTATTTGGACCATCACTAATACTGGACCTTTTTCTTGCAGGTCGAAGCTAAACAGACCAGGAACCACACTTTTACAGCTGGCAAAATTTGGCACTAGAAGCTTCCCTTTAAAGTCTCATTCTTCATAAAGACTTTTAAATAGAACATTACCTACCGATGATATCACCAGCAAATTTGGTTTTATTGGACCTTTTAGTTGCTCATGTTGCAGAATCCCAAAGCTGAAACCATTAATCATATCTTTATGAGAAGTGATGGTGCTCTAGCTGCCTGGAATGTATTTGGAAATTCGTTTGGAGTTTCCTTCGTTGGTGATTTAAGGCAAACTCTTATTAAGTGGTGTCTCACTAAAAGTAACAATAAAATTCTAGAATTTATCTTGCAATGCTTACCGAGCATTATCTGTTGGGAGATCTGGAAAAGGAGGTGTGCAGGTAGATATGGTGAAGGAGTAGCTCCATTCAAAGCCTAATCTACCAGATTCAATCCTATATGATTACTCTTATCACCAGCAATTTTGCTACTCTTTCAGAAGCATCTATGCTTTATTCTGGAAAAGATTAAACCAGCTCTCAATGTTATCCCTGTCAAATGGCAAAAACCACATGATGGATATCTCAAACTCAACACAGATGGATGCAGTAAAGGAAATCCAGGCCTGGCAGGAGGAGGTGGTATTTTGAGAGATCAAAGAGGAGATTTGGTGATAGCTTTCTCTAGCTTTTTTGGTGTTTGCACAAGTAATATGGGTGAAGCGAAATCCATTCTCATGGGAATTAAATGGTGTCTAGACAAGGGTTACAAGGAGATTTTTGTTGAATCTGATTCACAGATTTTAATCAATGCTATCAACAACCTTTCTTCCTTTCTCATGGCAAATTTCTCACATCTGGAGCAAATTTTGGAGTTTGCACAGGAAGGCAAATTCTATTTTTTTCATTGCTTTAGAGAAGCCAATTGCACAGCTGATTATCTTGCTAATTGAAGCTTACAAAGAAGATCATCTACTTTCTTGATGGAGGCTAACATCCTACCCGGGAAGGTGAGAGCTACCTTGAAGACAGATAGGGACCAACTGATTAATTTTAGAATCAAGTCTAGAAAGAACCATTTTGTTGTATAGCTTCTGTAGATGGTTCTTAATCCTAACCTATATCGTGTGTTACATTCTCTTGTATGTACAACTAGGCAGTAATACCCCGTGCTAGCACGGGCCCAATAATGTAGAAATTGAAACTTTGTATTTTTGATAAACTTCTTTTGTTGTAGACCTTTTCATTCATATGAGTAATCTTTCTTTCTCTCTCTCTCTCACACAACACACACACACATATATATATATATATGCAGCCACCACATGTGGTTAGGCTCCTTTCTCGCCTGCCATTGACAAAAAAATTGGTACCTGTAAGGGGTTTATTTGTTAGTCTAGCCATCTCTTTCTTTCAAAATAAAAATAATAGAGAGAAAGAATAGAAGCAAGAGAACAAAATTAGTTGGTCGCAATTGACATACCTTTCAAAACATTGTCCGTCATGCATCCCTCATTTGTGCTTCGATGTAGCTTTCAAAAAAGCTATAAACTCAAATTTGGCATGCACCAAAACACTCGTGCCAGTAAAAAAAAGTCGTGAGTGCACAAGCATATCCCATATAGCTGCATAGGAAAAGGAGTGCAACAAGGCACAATAAACTCAAGGAATTGGCTAATCATGGTTGATCTCTTCCTTTTCATTTTTCAAAAAAAGATAAACGGTCTTTATGGAGCAAACATATAAATCCAGATCAGCTGCATTGTCTATTTGATATAGAATTTGCTTTTATGTTTATTTATACTTCTTCACCAGAACTCTAGCATTATTTCACTTTCTGCACCAAATTCTAGGACGCAAAATTTCATTTAAATTGGTAGCTAGATTTTTATGTTTTTATGTACAAGAATACCGAGGAAAAATGTGAGAGAAGAACATGAAATAAACTCATCCTTTTATGCTCGAACTGAACTTAAGACTCTAGGTATTGTTGGAGTCAAAATAACATGGTGCATGTGGAAACTAACAAAACTTGGTAGACGATAAATCAGACGACAAAAGAAAAATATACTATACTAAGCATAATAGTTTATAATTGTTTGGTAAATTGATCTACATATGATAAAACTAATATAAAAGAAGAAAAACTAGGGAGAGAAAAATCTCCCTCTAAAAAGAACTCTTTAATGACTACATTGTGGATATTTTTTTTTTTTGCTCTTGTGAGAAGTAGAGATCCTTAATTCATAGATGTGCAAAACTTGTTTTCCAAGAAAAGGATAAGACATATTAAGGAGATTTAATCCTTTTAGTAGTCTTTTTCCATTCCTTCAAGAAAGAGAGTGCTAATAGATTAGAAGTTCAGGGCAAAACCCTAACAATCTCCCCTTGGCCTGAATATTCTTGACAAAGTTGATTCACCGTCTTCACATAATCTCCATCACTGCTGCTTGCCATGATTAAAAAACGGTATAGGTTAAAAATCTTGGTATTGGTTAAAAGAAGCCCTAGTATGGGTTAAAAGGAGCCCACGTGTTAAGAATAAACATGGGGTAAAAGAAGCTCATGCATTAAAAAGAAGCGTGAGTTAAAACTGGCACTGGAACTCATGCGTTGCAAGTAGGCATGACTAAAACTGGCATTGGTTAAAAGTGACCAAAATATGGGTTAAAAAGAGAGATGCAGATGCAGGCGTTTTGAATACAATTGTGATTGTAAATTTATCTTCACATGTAGCATCATATTCAATTTTTTTTTTTTTGAATAGATCTTCATTGTCGTCTTGATCTAAACACGCATTGAATCCGTCTTCAACCTCATTCAACCGTTGACTCTGAACCATTGGCTCTGATACCACTTGTTGGTATCGAAATAACATGGTGCATGCGGAAACTAACAATAAAAAGCTTGACGGACGATAAATCAGACGACAAAAGAAAAATATACTAAACTAAGCATAATAGTTTATAATGGTTTGGTCAATTGACCTACATATGATAAAACTAATCTAAAAGAAGAAAAACTATCGAGAGAAAAATCTCCCCCTAAACAAAATTCTTTAATGACTACATTGTGGATATTTTTTGTCTTGTGATCTTGTGAGAAGTAGAGATCCTTAATTTATAGATGTGCAAAACTTGTCTTCCAAGAAAAGGATAAGACATATTAAGGAGATTTAATCCTTTTAGGAGTCTTTATCCATTCCTTCAAGAAAGAGAGTGCTAATAGATTAGAAGTTCAGGGCAAAACCCTAACAGGTATTACCTGGTATTTTTTCCGGGGAAGAAACACCCTGCACAAACAAATTCAAATTCAAGGTAGAAATTGATATCTCCATCAGGTAAGTTCTTGAAGAATCACTTGTCCAACAATTCAAATCAAAATTCAGAGGAAAAATTAGAATACATGCGATTTTACCAAGTTGAGTTGCATTATTAAGATAAAAGCAAAGAACAAATTTACTGAGGTTATAGGAGAAAGAATATACTGAAGCCGAGTGGAGGGGAATATGGATTTTAAAGAGTATACATGAGATTTTACCAAGCTGAGTTCTCTTGTTTCAATCCTTTCAGCTATGTATAAAACTTTCAGTTTCAGAATCAACTTCTCAAATCCATTGCCAAGATCTACAACAGTTCTATATCATACAATGTCAAGGTTTTTGCATAAACCAATGCAATATTAAAATGTCATATTAAATTAGAAAAAATAATAAGCACCATATTTTAAGTCCTCTTTATGGACTTTTTAGGATAGTAGCATCCCAGAGATGCATATCTAGAACTAAAATTTTTATATTCATATTTCAACTTCCCCACCATTGCCCATATTTTATCTGCACCTCTCTCTTCCTTGTTATCTATTTCCAGTCAACTAAAATATTTCTACTTCTAAAATTTCTATCAGTTATTTTTCATCTTTTATTATACTCATATTCATTATAGAGTAAGTTGTTATCGCTTATTTTGTTTTATCTTAATAACAATTCTCATGTTCCATAAGTGAAGTTCCAAATTGCATCTCAGGGCGACAAACTTTTCAAATAGATTATTAAAGGTCCAAAAAGAAACGCGAATAATAGGTATAGTTCTCGCAATTTACAATTCCATGCACATGCCCTGCTTCCGGAAAGACACTATCTTTTAAAGTTCACTCTCTTGCAACCTCCAAGTTTATGATCTCTCAAGTCTAGTGAGATACCATATTGAGCCCCTAGTGGAAAACCAACTTTAGACAAAAGTCTACAAGAATCCTTGTGCCAGAGCAGAAAAGACATAATTATAAAAAAGAAACCACATTACCTGGCCCTTTTGTTGATATCACACATCGATCATTGCCAGTATTTGCACATAAAATTTTTACAGCTTAGCTGTTTGATACTGTATAGGGTCAAATTAGTATCTCTACGCCAGTGGGTACGCCCAATGAGTGTACGCCGACCAACGTAGTACGACTCGGCCGTGAGGACAAAAGCGACAGCGTTTAGAACTCAGCGTCTACAGTAGGGAGACATTACCTATCTTTGTAACTTTTTGATTCTTTCGAGGAAGGTCTCCTATTATATAAAGAAGACCTCCACATTGTAAAAGGGGATTTGATCTAATACAACTCTCTCATTTTTTTGGCTTTCTCTCTCTATATCTCTACCTCTAACGAAAATATCTTATTGGTAAACATTATCACTTTGCAATATCAGATCTACAACAATATTATCATCTTTGCATCTTTAGGCTTATTATATTTGATTACGATTTACCCCCTTTCTATTTTTAATTGTTTTATCGCTTACAAAGTATATCGTTAACTTTTGAGCTAAACAGATACGTTTTAGATAGACGCGATGAGCTGCTTATAACAAGAGAACCTAGTTTACAACACTAAGATAATAATGTATAACAAACTCCATATACTACTCAAACTTCAATGTGCCAAACAGTTAACTTCCCTTTTCTTCTCTTAAGTAAATAAATTTGAAACGTACCAGACGATATCAAATTTCATATAATTAAACCAGTTAGTCAAGCAGTACCGGAAATGATCAGCTATCTACAATATAAGCTTTTAACTTCTTTTTTTGTTGCAGCTGCTACTTCTCTTATGTCTTCTTCTCCCTCTTATCGGTTCTGTTTCATCAAGAGCAACAGAAGAGCCATAGCGAGAGCGAACTCCCAATCCGGCTTTATCACGAATTTGCTGGAGAAATCGATAGCGTGGAGCAAGTAACCGATGAATATAACATGCTTCGGAAGTATGGGCATCCTTGAAGGTTGGACCAATATAATAAGTTCAGAATTGGAGTTTATGATTTATGAAGTTTGTACTCACAATTCTGAAGGATAGAGATATATATGATGTGCAAATAAGATATTGATATTTATGTACAAAACGCACCAAATATTATCCAAAAAAACACGCAATAAAGAAAGAAAAAATGGTGAAAACTCACAAAAACCTGAAAATATAGCAGTCACCAAAGATAAATTGAGACCAAATTTTGACGATAACGGAGAAATAAAGAGCAGAAATAAGAGGAAAAGAAAGAAAGCATAGAGAATGAAGAGGGAGAAAGCAGCTTCCATAAGTGAGAGAACTGGAGCTTCTAGCATGCATCATCAATTATTATAAATTATCAAGATGAAATTATCTAGTTTAACTTTATTTTTCTAATCTTAAAAAGAAAATTGAAGGTTCAATTGAAGGTTAGGATAGAAATTAGATTAACCATCTCAAGAATTGAGGTCCCATAAAAAAATTTGATCAAGGTAAGCTCATGAAATTGCATCACAATAGAAGAAGGGCGTAACTTTTAGCTACCATTAGCGAACAAGAAAACGGGGTGTAGAATTGAAATAGAAAAACACCTAGGGTAACACTTGCTTACCTTTCCTATGTGAGTAGGCCCTCCAATTCTCTGTACAAAGAAATGATATTGATTGTAATGTCATCTTCTTCACTTGAAAATTGACTGAAACCACTCTTCCTCGTCATCATAGTCCCTATTAAGTGTTGGAGGGCAGAACATCTCAGCAAGAATAGCGCATATTCAGGGGAACAATCCATCGAGAAGCATCGAAGAGGAATACAAGTATACAACTGATGCGGTGGCTGTTCAACTTTGGTTTGGAGGACACGTTGCGTTAGGTATTGAATAAAGTCCAAAATACCCTTAGATACAAATTTAATGCCAATAAGCTCGCACGTCGAAACCGGGAGCTCTTCTAATGTATAGAAAGAAAGAAAGCATGCTAGCTATAGAAAATGAAAGCCTCATATTTTGTATCGTGGGATGGGATGAGATTATAAGACCTCATCCCGCACTCTGCTGCTTCTTTTTCTTTTTGTTAATATACAGGTTGGGGTCAAGCCTAAGCGTCCCACCGCAATGGTGAGTATTGATTTGAAAAAAACAGTCTATTGATCAATGAATAAATATGAGTATGAGTTATTCAATTGTGGAAAAGTAACAAACTATTTTCTAAGATGTATTTGAAGCGATTTATTAAGTATGTAGCCCCCATCCCCTCCCCCGAGAAAAAATTATATCAATTCACATTCTCACTAGATAAGATATTATAGTGTAATTTTTTTTTTAATATCCGATGAAGAAAATATAAGGGTTGTACTAGTCGAAGTGCCCATAATTTTCTAATTTCTACTAATCCCTCTATGTAGAAACCATCTTTCTCAGGTTTTCCTTGTTTTAAAATAGTATCATACGAGAACACAAAGAAGAAGACAAAAAAAAAGGGAGACAAAAATAATAAATAAATACACATATACCATGCGTCCATTATTTGTGGATGGATGGCTACATTTCTCAAGAAAAGTATGAGAGGGTGGCCCAAAGGGGAATGGATCCGTATCCACAAGCTGCACGGATAACTCATGTGCTAATAATATCAACCGCAAGGACAACTCACACGTTGCGCGGATAACTCACGTGCCAATAATATCAATATTTAGATCCGCATGGACAACTCACATGCTAAATATAACAACCGCACAGACAATCACATGCTGCACGGACAACTCACGTGCTAATAGTCACAATTCGCCCAGCATGGTCACAGGAAAAATATCACAATCCGCCTGATGTGGTCACAGGCACAATATCACAATCCGTCCAGCGTGGTCACAGGCTACCAGTCCAAACCATATCATACATAAAGCAAATATGCAAGAATACATATACATGATCAAAGAAAACCAAATTTCATAATTCTGGACTGGTATAAGTGACATGCTAAGATGTATGCATGTGCAAGTGTGATATCATAGCTCAAAATATGTGAATACATCACAACATAGCAGCTATCACGCTAAATCGGGAGATTAACCTCTACGCAACCTCAAACATGGCTCAAATAGCTCACAACAGGGTGTACAAATAAGAGATACATCACAGTATGAGACTTATCAACCAATTCAAGACGTGTCATAGTCTAAGTGCTACCCGAGTGTGGATAAATACCCCAGGGCTCGCACGGGATCAAACGTCACATATATCCGCACCCATAGCACGTAGCTATCGCTAATAACTTAGACCACTAATGCCTCAACCTAGTTTAGATAGGATACTTACCTCAAGCAAGCCAAACAATACTCTAGACATACCATCCCACGCGAATCGACTTCCCAACGGCTCGAAACTAGCCAAGAGCAACTCAAAAATATCAAACAATGCGAAAGGGAACAAACCCAAACGATACGAATCTTTAATCAAAAACTCAAAGTCAACTTGTCACGACCCGAGTACGCCCTCCGTGAACAGTCGTGACGGCACCTAGTCTCTACGACTAGGTAAGCCTAACAAATGCGGAAAAAGAAACAAATTGCGGAAAGAAACTAATAAAAACCAAGATAACAAGATATAACAGTGTTTAAGATGCTGCCCAGCATATCACAATACAACATTTCCAACTAAACACTCCCAAAACCCGGAATCCCATGAATCACAAGCTAAAAGTACATAAAATGCTCTAACTCCAGAAATGTCTAACAACAACAAGATACAGAAGGGCTATACTACTACAGAGAATGGAAAAGGACTCCTCGGTCTGCGGACGCGGCAGATATACCTCGAAGTCTCTATAGAAAATGCCTCGTCTCAAGGGTGATAGGACTGAGTGGAAGTACCTGGATCTGTACACGCAAAAATATGTGCAGAAAAGGGCATGAGTACTCCACAGCGGTACCCAGTAAGTGCCAAGCTTAACCTTGGTCGAGTTGTGACGAGGAAGGTCAGGGCCCTACCGGTCATATACAGTAATATATAAGGAAGATGAGCAGTAGTAAAGAAATACAGATAATGAGAGAAACAACAACCACAACCAAGGCAATAAATACAGAAGGTATACAACTCAACTTAGAGATAATAACTGGGGATCTACCAAGATCTACTCCTGTAGCCCCAAAAATAAATAATCAGTGGATCTCCTAGGTACTGTCCCGTAATCCATATCGCTGTGCAGGGGGAATCTACCGGAATACCACATCCGTAGTCCTAAAAGTAAATAATTAGTAGATCTCTGGGGTGCTGTCCAGTAGTCCATATTATTGTGTAGGGGGATCTACCGGAATACCACATCCGTAGTCCCAAATAAATAGACAAGGGGGATCTACCGGGAACCGCCCGTAGTCCCAATGTAAACACGCATCAACAACACAAGAATAATCAACTCAATTCAATTTAACATCAAAATAGACAGGTAATTCTAACCTAGCATGCTGCACAGATTTCAGATAAGGCAGTTTGAGCAAGTAGGCAATTTAGTCATTTAGGCATGCTTTCCTACGCTAGCAGTAAGCTCAAAGTTCAAATAGTGTAAACAGTGAAGTAAAATACGAAATATAGATACTTAAATGTAAAATAGAATTTTCAACAATTAGCACAAGGACGCGCTCAGCACTCACGTACAAGGCATCTCAGATATCACAGTACCAAATCCTAAGGGGAGTTCCCCCACACAAGGTTAGACAAGCCACTTACCTCGAACCAGCTTAATCAATTCAATACCACGTTCTCGCCACGAGTATCCGACTCCAAATGGCCCAAATATATTCAAAGTAATTGCATAATGTAAATAACAATTCAAGTAACTAATTCAACTAATTAATTCTAAGCTAATACGCGAAATTAGGAAAAATGACCAAAACGCTCCCCCGGGCCCACGTCTCGGAATCGGATAAAATTTATAAATTCATGATCCTCACACTCTCACTAGTTCATTCATACCAAAAGTACAAAAATCGGACCTCAAATGGTCCCTCAAATCACCACTCAAAGCTCTCCAATTAACCATGCCCTAACCCCCAATTTACCACTGATTTTCCTTCAAATTTCATGCTTACAATGATAAAAATCACCATAATAACGAGCTTAAGGACCAAAGGCCTTACCTCAATGAATCCCTCTAAAAATCTCCCTTGAAAATGCTCTCCAAAGCTTCTTCCCGTTGAAATATTATGAAAAATAACCCAAATTCGCGAAGGAAATCTTTCTTATACTTTTTGACCCAGGTTTATTGCACCTGCGGTCCATTTCCGCTTCTGTGCTACCGCTTTTGCGGTCAAGGACACCGCTTCTGCGGTTTTCACTTAAGTCCCCTCCTCCGCACCTGCGACCTAGACTCCGCATCTGCAGTTCCGCAGGTGCGGCACACCTCCCGCTTCTGCGTCTTCTGCTGCCTTCACCTGCGGCCGCATCTGCGGCTTGATCTCGCTTCTGCGGTCATCGCACCTGCGGCCCCCTAACCACAGGTGCGGTTATGACAGAAAAACTCAGCAGCTTCAGCTGCAAATTTCCAACTCCAAACTTCCCGTTAACCATCCGAAATCACCCTGAGGCCCCCGGGACCTCAACCAAAAGCACGAACAAGTAATATACCACTATCCAAACTTATAAAAATCTTCGAAACACCTCAAACAACATCGAATCAACCAAATAACATCAGATTCAAGCCTAAGGTTCCAAGAATCTTCCGAGTTCCGCTTTTGATAAAAAAGTCTATCAAACCTCGTCTGAATGACCTGAAATTTTGCACACACGTCGCAAATTACACAACGGACCTACTCCAACTTTCGGAATTCCGTTCCGACCCGGATATCAAAATCTCACTATCAAACCGGAAACTTCAAAAATTTGATTTTCGGCATTTCAAGCCTAATTAAGCTACGGACCTCCAAAACACAATCCGAACACGCTCCTAAGCTCGAAATCACCCAACGGAGCTAACAGAACCGACGGAATTCCATTCCGAGTCCGTCTTCACACTGCTCCGACTACGGTCCAAATTCTAAAGCTTAAACTCTCATTTAGGGACTAAGTGTCCCAAATCTCTCCGGAACTCCGAATAAATCCTCCCGGCAACTCACAATAGCAGAAACAAACATGGGAAAAGCAGTTAATAGGGGATCGGGGCGTAAATTCTTAAAACGACCGGCCGGGTCGTTACATCCTCCCACACTTAAACATTCGTTCGTCCTCAAACGAGCATAGAGACATACCTGAAGTAGTGAAAAGATGAGGGCAACGGCTATGCATATCCTGCTCGGTCTCCCAAGTCGCCTCCTCGACCGGCTGACCCCGCCACTGAACCTTCACTGATGCAATGTTCTCTGACCTCAGCTTTCGAACCTGCCTGTCCAGTATAGCCACTGGCTCCTTAGCATAAGATAGATCCTTGTCCAACTGGACTGAACTGAAATCCAACACGTGCGACTGTTGACACCCAATTTTTCCCTATATATTTTCAATATGCAAAATAACTTCAAAATGGTATATGTATGCATATATGCATATATCAAAGTGCTTCATTACTTTTCCTTAATTTTTAAAAAAATTTTAAATCTATTTATTCTCCTATTTTTATCCATAAAAATCCAGTAATTGTTTCCAAAAATTACCATTTTGGTGATCCACTTATTGCACTTTTATATCTATGCTAAAATATAGCCAAGGGAATTTTTGCATATTTTTACAAATTTATTTAATATTTTTAAAGCTAAATTGCATATAATTGTAATATTAGCCTCTTTTAAGATTTAACTGCGTTTATATTCATAAAATTAAGTCCTGTATTTTTATATAGTTAATTATGCGCTATAATCATTTTAGCACCTTTAATATATTTCCAGAAATTAATTTATTATTTTTTATAAATTAAATAGGGAAAATTGGCTATTTAAATGTTAGCCCAATTTCATTTCAATTATAGCCCGATTCTGACCTCAATTGAACCCAATTTAACCCGACCCAATTTCAATTTAACCCGACCCAAACCCAGTTTCATTAAACCACCCACTTACCCGTTTTAATCCAGGCCGTTGATCATTCAGATCAACGGCCAACAATTACCCTTGCCTAATTCCAAACTACC